ACCAAGCTTGATGAGGAAGAATGGGTTCAGACAAGATTCAACCAACTCAACCTGATTGATGAAAAGCATCTGGAGGCCATTTTTCATGGACAATTGTACCAACAAAGGATGAAGGGAGCATTCGACAAAAAGATCCGTCCTCAGAAGTTTTATCCTGGTGATTTGGTCTTGAGAAGGGTCATCGTGCAAAGCCATTCTGATCAAAGGGGCAAATGGACTCCCAATTAAGAGGGACCATATATCTTGTAGAGAGCCTTTTCAGGAGGTGCTCTAATCCAGACAGACATGGATGGGGAAGACGTTCCACTCCTAGTCAATTCAGACTCAGTCAAAAAATACTACGCATAAAGAGACCTGCTAAGTCGAAAACCTGAAAGGGAGATTTAGGAAAAAATGGGCATCCCGGTGGACATGAAAGTCAAGGCAAAAGTTAGAGATAAAATAAAAACTAATAGCCCACTAAGTTGAAAACCCGAAAGGGTGACTTAGGCAAAAATGGGTATCCCATTGGACCGAAAACCTGAAAGGGCGATCCAAGAAAAAGTTAGGGATATTAAGCGAGAGGTTGTAGTCTTAATTCTCTTCACGAATGACACATGCACATCTATAGCACCTTGGCAGCGAATTGACCGGTCCAACTGTTAATCTTCAGAGGCAAGGCATTGAGACTAATTAGGATATGGGAACCGTAGCAATACCAGTTTTAATGGAAATTCGAGCATCTCTCATTGCCATTTATACTTATTATATTTCTCGTTTCTATTTTGTAGCTACCTCATATAGGAGTTGCATCCTTGTACAAATGCCTATTCACAAGCCAATCAATAAAATTTGCTTCCATCAAAAAGTTGTTTTTTATTATCATAAAAATGTTTTTTGTATGCGAAGTGTGTTTTATTCGTTATTAAACACTGAATTAGAAACATGGGGAGTAAAATTCCCAAGCTAAGATAAAACTTGACTTTACATCGATATATAACCATGTGGGAATGTCGTATGCATTCCAAGTGTTGTTTTTCCTTGCAGGTAGAAATTTATAACGACCATCAAAACTTAGCCAGTGCACGAAGCCGCCTTCACCTACTATAGACAGTTCCAACCTGATTCCCCAATTGAATTCAGAAAGTTCAGAGTCGTCGTTTGACTTGGCATGTGCAAGTGCATCCCCAGTGGAGTTAATAAAGTGTGTCCCCAGTAGAACTAAACCGGGGCATTCGTAGAACTAAACTGGGGCATTTGTAGGTGTTCATGCCCATCTCTTGTCCCCAAGTGATTCAAGAAGTAATTCCCCCAGTGTGGCGTAAACTTGGGGCATGTATGCGAAGAGATCCACATGGTGTTCAATCCCCATTCTTTGGCATTTTCAATTCTACCATCCTCTCAATGGTTCAGGATGTATGAAAGTCTGGCCAAATCATCTCTTCCCCAATGGTATGACTCAGAATTCAGCGGCGTACCTGAAGACCCGCTTTATCGGCAATTCAATCTTCAACAGAGTCATCAATAATCTTCGGTATCATGAGCTCCCCAGTGCGAAGTCTTACCAGTATCCCTAGTGATCTTTGGTATTGCAGGTTTCCAATGCCGACATGTATTGGCATCCTTAGTGATGAGCAACGATTCCCAATGAGCATTCTCTTATCCCCATGAAGTTTATTTCTTTGCATTGCATATAGTTATCATTGCATAACATTGCATCCTCAAAAGAGCGTAGCTGATCCATCAGAATGGATCTTTGCAGAAAAAGAAGTTCAAACATGCATACGAAGCATAAGCCAGATCAGGTACCTTACACGAAAGACTTGAATCATTCAAGGACAATAATGCATCCCCACAAGAGGATATCATTCCCAAATCCCAAGTCGGTGACCTTCACCTTCACAATGCCCAGTCGATGCCAGTACCTCATCCACCTATTCCCAATAAAATCAATACACCTTGTTATTCTAAACCCAGTTCTTGTCTGGTAGCCAACTCTCGTATGACAAATAATTCAGTATTCCAACACTCGTCCATGTTTAAAACCTTTTGATACTCATTTGTATCTTTTATCAATACTCGTCCGTATTAATTCAAACACTCGTTCGTGTTTAAAACCTTTTGATACTCGTTTGTATCTTCTTTCAATACCCGTCCGTATTGATTCAAACACTCGTCTGTGTTTAAAACTTTTTGATGCTCATATGTATCTTCTTTCAATACTCGTCCGTATTGATTCAAACACTCGTCTGTGTTTAATCTTTTGATACTCGTATGTATCTTCTTTCAATACTCGTCCGTATTGATTCATACACTCGTATGTGTTTAAAACTTTTTGATACTCGTCTGTATCTTCTTTTAATACTCGTCAGTATTGATTCAAACACTCGTCCGTGTTTAACCTTTTGATACTCGTATGTACCTTCTTTCAATACTCATCTGTATTTATTCATACACTTGTCCGTGTTAAAAACCTTTTGATACTCGTCTGTATCTTCCTTCAATATTCGTCCGTATTAATTCACACACTCGTTTGTGTTTAACCTTTGGATACTCGTTTGTATCTTCTTTCGATACTCGTCTGTATTGATTCAAACACTCATCTGTGTTTAACCTTTTTGATACTCGTCTGTATCTTCCTTCAATACTCGTTCGTATTGATTCAAACACTCATCCGTGTTTAACCTTTTGATACTTGTATGTATCTTCTTTTAATACTCATCCGTATTGATTCATACAGTCGTCCGTGTTTAAAACCTTTTGATACTCGTCTGTATCTTCCTTCAATACTTGTTCGTATTGATTCAGACACTCGTATGTGTTTAACCTTTGGATACTCATTTGTATCTTCTTTCGATACTCGTCCGTATTGATTCAAACACTCGTCCGTGTTTAACCTTTCTTGATACTCGTTCGTATCTTCTTTCGATACTCGTCCGTATTAATTCAAACACTCGTCCGTGTTAACCTTTTGATACTCGTCTGTATCTTCCTTCAATACTCATTTGTATTGATTCAAACACTCGTCCGTGTTTAACCTTTCTTAATACTCATCTGTATCTTCTTTCAATACTCGTCCATATTGATTCAAACACTCGTCCGTGTTTAACATTTTGATACTCGTCTGTATCTTCTTTCAATACTCGTCCGTAGTGATTCAAACACTTGTCTGTGTTTAAACCTTTTGATACTTGTCTGTATCTTTTTTCAATACTCGTCTGTATTAATTCAAACACTCGTTTGTATTTAAAATTTTTGATACTCGACTGTATCTTCTTTCAATACTTGTTTGTATTGATTCAAACACTCGTCTGTGTTTAAACTTTTGATACTCGTCTGTATCTTCTTTCAATACTCGTCCATATTAATTCAAACACTCGTCTGTGTTTAACCTTTCTTGATGCTCGTCGGTATCTTCTTTTGGTACTCGTCCGTATCGATTCAAACATTCGTCGTGTCGAGATCGATTTCTCTTACGAATCATCGTGTCCTGATCGATGTATCCCTGTTAGCCATCGTGTCCTGATCGATGTCTTCCTTTTGGTTATCGTGTCCTAATCAATACCTCCCTTGTGAATCATCATGTCCTGATTGGTGTTTTACTCTCAGTCATCGTGTCCTGATCGATGTATTCTGATATCTTCGTGTCCTGATCGATGTATACCTCTTGTTTAGTCCCAATTTTTAATTCCCCAGTGGATGTTACAAAAACAATACTCGTCACTACCTTTCTCTCAGAACAAATTTTTGGCATTGATATTTAATCATCTTCTACCTCGAAATTCCAAAAGGCACGCGCCAATCGTACTTTCAGGTTTAAGACGATTAAATAGGGGCAACTGTAATACCCCAAATTTGTCCTACCCTTTTTACTTTTATCTGGCTTATGCATTTTGCGCTTCTCATGCATACCTTAGGTTAATTAACACCTCATGCATCACTAACCAGTAAATTTAACACGTGAAAATAGATCTTGAAAATTAGGGTTTATGTATGGCTTTGAGGCTCTTATCTTCATTCAAGAGATTCAAGTTATTTCTTTAGTAATCATGGTTGAAGATAGGGTTTTAATTCATGGTTATTATGGACTTGTTTCTTATCAGGCTACAATGGTATCTTCCTCCAAGTTCATCAAGAGACACAGTCATTTGTATCAAAGTTACTTCAAGAACTAAGTGCGTTAGGATTGTGAATGCTAGGGTTTCATCAAAGATTTAGAAAAAGATTTTTTTGGGCTAGAGCTTGGTTTCTTATCAATATCTCGGTGCCATTTATTCACCAAAGTGAATCTCAAAAGGATTAAGTTCCATGTTCATTTTCAAAGTTCCATATGCATTTTCAAAGGATTCCTCAAGGCATGGTCACCGTGTTACAGGATAGGATTTGTGAATTCAAGACATTAACACTATTCTTTCAATTAATGATAGCTTATAATGCAAAATAACTGGGATTGATAAAGACGGGTTGATTCGTCCATTGAGAAATGAAACGGAATTCATTCATTCAAGTGATTCCATGAATTCAATCTATTCAAGGACATAAGTTTGGATTTGGTTCATGTTAAATTTGGAAGGTTCAGTCATGTGGTTTGCTTGAAATACAAGCAACAAGTAAAGTGTAAAATTCAAATTACCAAGCATTATTCAAGTCCATGTTACAATAATTCTATACTTTTCATCATCAATTTCGAATTCATTTGAGATCCAAATCATTCATAAAAATTCGAGTTCAATTCACCAAAACGTTATCATACTGTGTTTGAATATATTATCGTCTATTTGATTTCACTCAAGTATCAGACCAATTCAAACAAGGTTCAACAATTATAGTCAAACCATGTTCATTCCATAAAGATAATTACAACTACATATTTCTATGTTACATGAACTTTACATCAAAAATAATATGAGAGAACCATTCTTAAACCTTAACACTTATCCTAAGCCTAGTGATTCCATCTTCACCCTTTATCTAATCTTCATGTTCCATTCTTTATGGCCAAAGGTCCTATGTTACAATCTTCACCTGACTTTAAGCTTAAACCATGTTTTCGCTTTCACCTTCATCAACTCCATGGCCAAAGCTTTGCTTTCATCTTCGCTAGCCTTCGTGTCTAACCTCCTTGCTTCATCAACCATCTTGCATTTAAATATCATGCTATGCCTTCACATTTTGACCTACACAAAGCAAACAATACAAAACCATATAAGGTTTTCCTTTCACAAAAATACGAATCATGCTACGGGGACTGCATCCAAACATATCCAAAACTTACCCATGTTGTTATGCCTTGATTTACTCTAAAACAGTACACTTATGCATCACAAATATGCTACCTTGTTATACCTCCTGCCTACCTGCGTAAACCAGTACAAAAACAATCATTAAATTAAAACCAAGCCAAGACATTCAAGCCAATTTCAATGTAATTCAAAGCCATCTAATACTAAGGCGTTCAAATATGCAGAGTCAAATGTGCCAGCCAATACAGATCTGGTTTCAGACATGACAGAAATTCATAGGGACCGGCCCCAACATAAGATAGCAGATTCGATAACTTTCACGAATCAACTTCAAATCATTTTAGTTGTACTAACTATAACAAATTCCATAACAAAAACTAACAGAATTCTAACTGAATTCTAGCTTCAACCAACCGCCTCCAACCAAATTGTAACAGAAAATATTGAAGTGGAAAATTTCCAGTAAAGATAACCATAATAGAATTGCAGACCCTGCATTCCAACTAACAGCCTAAGTTCCCTAACTAACTATTTCTTTTCTTACTAACAAAAAACAGAATTCAAGAATTTTCTCGTCTTCCTAATAGCCCTGTCCATAACCCCTCTAGCTGGAACTTATAACAAAGTCCAAACCTTCATAACTTCTGTAATAAAAGCTCCAACAAATTTCTAACTGTAACCAATTGTGCAAAATAGAGTTTCTTAACCACCTCCGCAACAGAATTCCATCTCATCCTAATTGTTCTAACTAACTTCTAACAAACTTTATAACAAACTCTCAACAAAAATTTAGAGGGGAGAAACTTTCAACAGAGGAAAAAGCAATAGAATAACAGAAGAAGAGGATTATTCACGATTCAGCTTTCACAAGATTGGAAAAAAAACAAAAAAAAAACACAAAAATCTCAAGAACTCTCTGAATTTCTTGGCCTCTTCTTCAACTTTCTTCAGCCGGCATCACGAAATTTTCTTTCTCTTCATTAATCTTCATCACCTCACTCAATCATCATCTTCATCATTTTTCTTCAATTAAAATTCTCTGCACAATCTTGCTCCCTCATCTTCATCTTTACAAAATCGTCATCAAACGTACATATCAACTCTCTGTAATCACTTTGAATCTCCCTCATCAATATGTGAATCGCATCAATCATCATCATCATCGCGGAGTCGTCGTCATCAATGCAATTTCAGCCATAAGCTGCAACAATTGCATCCTCTTCATCTTTATTGCGTCAATCGTCCTCACCTTCCCCATATCAAGCATCTTTGAGGAAGGATTAACACTGGTATCAAGCATTGTCATCAACATCGCAACTCAGAATCAACCACAGAAACGATTTTACTTGATCGAGGCTTCACCAAAGTTCGTAAACCACGCCATCAGAGGTAAGAGGTTTCATATTCGTTCTTCGTATTTTGCAAGAATATTGGAGAGCATAGCCTTTAGAATGAAATCCATAGAATCGCGCCCCTGATCATCAACCAGAGTGTTTAATTTAACTTCTAGGGTTTTAGGTTTTCTCTATTAGAATCGTACCGAAGTGAGCGAAATCAAGAAGAAATAGTGGCATATTTGTGCTCAGGGTGACAAAACGAGTGGAGTGGCGGTGTTTCGTTGGTGTGAGCCTTTAGGGAGATCAACGACATTGGCTTAGAAGAGGTGAGAACTATGTAAGAATGAAGGGATTCGTTCTTAGAGGCAGGCGGAAGGTCATAAGACCAGATGCATTCTAAACGCGGTCGTTTCGCAGATATAACTTCTTTAATTTTTTTTATTCAATTAATAGAAATTAGGAATAATTTGAATTGGATGAAGGGCTGAACCAGATTCTGTAGCAGGCCTAGTCGTTTGCGCTTTATTTTTTCACACTCCCTTCTGGATCTATTACCACACCATGTTCGTTTCTTTTTTACTTTGTTCTTAAATTTTAGTAAATTAATTTTGATACTTTCTTTCATGATTTTCTTGCTGAAAATTTTATGGATGATTATATGTTGATTTCTGACTTGTTGATATTTTTTTCATAATTTTTCCATTAGCTTAGGAATTAATTGAATTAATGTTTAGTGCATGAATAAAATTAGGATTTTAACGCGTTCTTGTCGATTTTGTATGTTTGACTCAATTCCCTTGGCATGATGAGTGGTTTTGCGGTAGATTATGACCCTTGAACAATGTCATAATATTTTTGACGCGTTTGTTTATTGTACAAGATACATTTTGGCTTTTTCGATCATGTAACATAACAGGTAGTTATATGATCGAAGCATACGGCTTATGCTCGCTTCTGACGCGACACGCCTTATTTCTCATCGTCTTGAGAAATTCATATTCTGTTATATGTTGCCCTGATACATGTGATACTTTATGATGTCTTATGCAGGAACTTCTGATTACACGTTGCATTCGCAACACGCGTTTGACTTTATCTTAGTTGGATATTATTTCTAACTTTTTTTGTTTCTTGGTGAAGCTTGCTCGACGCGTACTCCTTACTTCTCTAGTGCTTTCGTCTGCTCTTGACGACTTGCTCACTTTGGTAGTCGCCGCTACTACCTTCATACTTTTTCGCACTTTACTGCATCTGTTTACCGCTTTTCTAGATACCATGAGAAGTAGGAAATAAAGAGCGTGCACTCGAAGTTGCTGTTTAAAGACCTGTAGTAGGCATTTTGCACTTCATTTGCTATAGGTGTTGTGCTTGTGCTTATTCTTTGGTTATTGATCAATGAGTCACTTAATTTAGAAATTGAGATCACGACTTCGCTCTCAGTGCATGGTCCCTATAGGATTTTATCACTTTCCTTTATTTCTTGTTGATCGATGAGTCACTCAATTTAGAAATTGAGATCACGACTTCGCTATTATTGCATGTTCCCTATAGGATAGTTTTGTTAGACTTTCTTTGGCATGCTAACCTAGATAGGATCTCTCTAGGTGTGCTCTCTTGAGCTTATTAGCTTGTTTGCTTTATCCCTGTACATACCATGTTCCCTTAGGAAGCGATTGCTCCATCCGGATGCAAGTTAGACCTTAGGTTGTAAACCATGCATGCCGACTGTTGTACCCCAAAATTTGCCCTCGTATTTTTCCACCAGAAATCACAGCTTCGGGTTTTTCCTGATTTTTCAGACTGGCTCAAGAATCGGTCAAACAGACTTTTCTCGTCAGTCAGACAAAATTTAGGGTTTTCATTGATTTTAAGACGGTTCAAACAGATTGCTTAGGGTTTGGTTTAATTGGCTCAAAGTTTGATCAGGCAGGCGTTTCTCCAGTGTTAAGTCAAAAATCAGGGTTTTGCGCGCATATTTCTCAGAAAGAGTTAGTTCTATCAATGTTGTTCAGATTACTCTAAGATAAGGACTAAGGCTGCTGATTGTTAATTTGCAGTTGTTTGGATTAAATCAGTGAAAAGAAGACATGTGGATGTTTGTTTGATTTGACTGTGCATTGTTATGTTTAAGTCGGAACGCCGGACGTTTATTAATTATTTCTTTTTTCTAAAGTCAGAATAATTGGATTTATTTCCAATTGTTTTAATTTAGGAACTTCAAATAATTAAGTTAAACAATTGAAAGGAAATAAAAAGAATTAAGTGGTCAAAAGGAATTTTTATTCATCTTTAATTATTTGTTACAATTGTTATTTAAATACAGTATTTATTTACAAAGTATTTATAATAATAATGGTTACAATAATTAAAATTGAAATAAACTATGTACTAAATTTCCTAATCTTCATTCTTCTATCCAATGCTCCCTTGTTGCTCATTTATTTTCCATCTGCAAAACAAGAAACAAAAGAAAAGTCAAAGCAGATAAAATAATTAAAGATAGACAGTTAAAAAGATTCATCATTAAAGGAAACTGGCCGGAATCAGTTTGCCCTCTCTGCAAATCACGAGATTTCTCCCGGTTCACAGAGAGGGATGAAAAATGCTTGCAAAAGAAAAAGATATGAAATGCACAAAAGTATAATTTGCACAAATTCAAAATTGTCACACATGCTGCCTAGTTTCAAGTTTTCAACCAAAGAAGGCAAACCAAACTGAATGGCATAAACCAAGTCAAAAGTTGTCAAAGCAACTAACTGTCCAAAGCTGTCCAAAGATATCAAGATATCAAAGTACAAAAGGCTATCAAAAGGTTGTCAACAAAGATGCAGCATAAAATCTGGAAGAAGACATAAAGTATGCAGAGTAAACATGCAGTGCAAGCAACATATCAAGTCATCATGTTCAGGCCAGCTACCTTTTCAGTAAAGGACAATATAAGCAATATAAAATGCTTAAAAAACTGTCAAGAGAGAGGAGAGAGAGAGTGAAAGAAGGAGGCTTACAGGGCTCAGGCTTTAGGAAAGAAAAGATATAAAAAAACTGTAATAACACAGTACAGACCAAGGGCAGATACAACATAAACAAAAAGGAGAACCTCACAAAAAACTGTAATAGTTCCCAAGCCTCCACCCTGCTGAAACCAAACAAAACAACCAAGCTCATTAAAAACCAGACCTGCATCAAAGCCTTTAAAAGCCCAGATCTGTCCAGCCTAAAACATGTGTCTAAACTCAGTACACACAAGTCCAAAACCTGCATTAACCTTCAAAATACCACAGCCTAAACCAGTAAAACAAAACCTGAAGCATCAAGCTTCAAGACAAAAAGCTCACAACAAATCAGACCTGCATAATCCATTAAACCATCCAAGCCTTACCTGATTCAAAGAGCCCTCAAGCTATTTCAAACCTGTAACACAAAGCCTTTGTTCTAAACCTGTAATAGCCTAAAGCCTGTTAAAGCTTCAAGTCCAAACCAGAGCATCAAACACACAAGCCCTCAGAAAGTTTCATCATTGGGCAATCACACAAATCAAACGCCATAGCCTAAGCATCAACCAAACGTATCAAGCATTCAAGGCAATACAGAGTAGGGCAACCAAAGCCTCAGGAAACTTTCATCATAGGCAAATAAATCATCATTGAAGGCAATTAAAGCAAAGTTCACAAAGAGATAAAGAAGCATCTAGAAGCATCTCAAACTCAGCATTTCAAGGCAACATAAACCCTCAGTTTGGAATCATCATAGGATAACAAGCATATTCAGAGGAAACATATCAATTCATCTCAGAACATACAAAAGGCGAGGCAACCAGAAAAGAAGAGGAAGAGAGATATACAGGGCATCTCAGGTAAAACATCATTGAAAGCAAGTAGACCTAAAAGACAAAATACGAAATACCAGGATTCCAAGCAAACTAGCTTCATCATCACCATCCCCTCACCGTCAAGCCACCGGAAGCGCCTCCAAGTCCTTTGTCCCCCTCCTCCATCAAGGTAGTATCTTTTCTTCCCTTCCCTTTCATACCTCAAACAGAAACAAACGCTTAATCAGAATCAATAAACAAAAGCGAAGCATGCAAGACATAAAAATGAAAACCCTAACGCATTAAGAGAGCGAAATCATTACCTTCGTACCATATCACCGAGCAATCCATGGGGAGAAGAGGATACGGACGATGGCGCTGGGTGGCTTGGCAACTGGGACGGAAAATCGCGTTCAGAAGCGTCGACTCAGCGAGAACGAAGAGGAACAAGGACGAACGGCGCTGTAACCCTTAGCTTTTCTCCAAATGAACAAACATTTTCAAAACCCTAAAAAACGTGTTGTGAGGTATCTTGGGCATTGCCCTGTCCAACGCGCCTAAGCCCATTTTGTTTTTCCTGAATGCACCCCCTTTTTCCCATTATTCTGGTTATTGATCATTGGGCCTAAAACACTAAAGCCCGTTTTGATTCTTTCAAACTTATACCTTTTTTTACTTATCATATCTTTTTTTATATATATAAATTAACACCTTAATTTTTACATCAAATTTCACTAACAATACCTTTTTTTTTTATATTAGGATATTTTTGTATAGAATATTAACTAAAAAACATGAACATAATAACTTTCTCAAATTTAAAACATTTTTCTTTTAATTAAAATTTTCGTACATAAAAATATTAATTAAAATACATTAATTTGTAAATACATAAGAAATACTTTTCTTTAATATAAGACATTAATATATAGAATTTGAACATTTTCTTTCCTTAAAATATTTTCTTTGTACATAATTACATCAATACATAATTTTTCTTTAAGTTAAATATGTTCTTTTCTTGAAATATCTTCTTTGAACATACTTAGCAAAAATACAAGAATATAAAAAACAAATAAGTAGACAATACTTTATAATACATTAAAATTCACATTTTTCTCAACCTGTAAATAAATCACATAATCATTTACACATACACTTACACAT